TGTGTGTGTGTGGGTGGGTGTGTGTGTGGGTGTGTGTGAGTGTGGGTGTGTGGGTGTGTATGTGTGGGTGTGTGTGTGTGTGTGTGTGTGTATTTGAGTGTGTATATGTATATGTGTGTGTATGTGTGTGTTTGTGGGAGTGTATATGTATATGTGTGTGTGTTTATGTGTGTTTGTGGGAGTGTGTGTTTATGTATGTGTGTATTTGTGTCTATGGGTGTGTTTATGTATGTGTGTGTACTTGTGTCTATGTGTTTGTGTATGAATGAAAGAGTGAAAATGGGAGATGACAGTTTGAGCAAGTGATTGTCTTATAAAGGATGACAGTAGGAGCGAGTGATTGTCTTAAACAGGATGACAGTTTGAGTAAAGGGGTTGTCTTATAAAGGATGACAGTAGGAGCAAGTGGTTGTTTTATAAAAGATGGAAGTTTGGGCAAGTGATTGTCTTAAACAGGATGACAGTAGGAGCGAGTGATTGTCTTAAACAGGATGACAGTTGGAGCTAGTGATTGTTTTATACAGGTGGTCGTTAGAGCAGGCTGGACTACTGGAACAAATAAAAGTGTAATTATTATTACTTTATGGATTACCTGGACAAATTGGACGCCAGGGGCGCTGGCGTGGGTACCGGCCCGTCGTTGCTATGGTGATCCCTGCCTGTTAGGACATCCAAGATGGCGTCCAGGTTCCACTTGGGGTGCAGGGACTGGTTGAGTTTAGGGATGTGGTCAAAGAGGATGTCTGTCAACTGGTCATCGATGACCTCGAAGTGGTCCAGTTTTTCTGGGGGAGTCGGGGGGGGGGCGGATTTGGGGGAGTGGTTGGTTCAGTACTGGATGATACGTGATCGCGTTGTTGCTGCTGTTGTTGTTGTTGTTACTGCTGCTGTTGCTGTTGTTGTTGTTGTTGTTGTTGTTGTTGTTGTTGTTGTATATATGTCGCTACCCTAAAATTACAAAGCTCTACCTGCTAAGTAACTAGTTTTGAAAAATATGAAGTTAAAAAGTTTGAGTTTCACACCATATCAAGCGTTTTAACACAATTCTTTGAATAGCTTGATAACTACTCCGAATATTTGTTGCGATTTTGATAGAGCTGGCAGAACATTTGGCTTTTGCTCCCATTGTCTTAGTAACTCAAAACAGAGAAAAATGTGGGGCAGAACTTCGTCATTTTGAGGTAGTCATGTGTGACGGCGTGATGGAATCAGGAACATAAAGTTTACAAAATGGCAGTCATAATTAGAAAGGCACGGACGAATTGAACAAACACACACACACACACGTAACGCTAAAAGATGGACACAGATGAGTGGTCTGGTTATACACACGTAACGCTAAAAGATGGACACAGATGAGTGGTCTGGTTATACACACGTAACGCTAAAAGATGGACACAGATGAGTGGTCTGGTTATACACACGTAACATGGAATCTACAAAGAAACAGAAAGAAGAGAGGTCCACAAGGTACGTGGAGGTGGGACTTGGATTCAAACCTTCCAGAAATGGGGTACAACTAGACAGTGGTGGAGGTTGTAGCTCAGTGTAGAAGTAGTTGGTGAGCTGTTTTGGGGGATTTCTACTTCGGCGCGGGGTGAGAGAGGCTCACTGTGATGAACAGGGTCAGAGTGGTACAGATTTTACACCCATGGTTGAAGAGACACAAATGCATTGACCAATCATACCCACACGAAACAAAATGGAAATTTACCAACACAGAACAAGACAAAAATGGCAAACATGACTTGACCAATCATACACACATGTAACATTAGGAGAATGACACAATAAATTGACATCACACATATAAATAAAACCAACGATATTTGCCTACCTCTCATGATGAGAATGCCACAAAATGAAATGATGACTCACCTCTCATGATGAGAATGCCACAAAATGAAATGATCTATGATGACTCACCTCTCATGATGAGGATGTCACAGATGAGCTGACCGATGACGCAGACAGCGTCCAGTGCGGCGAGCGTGCAGACGAGGATGAGTACCACGTGAGTGTGGAGCAGCACAGACAGGCGCCTCTGGCATCTGGGGGGACACATAGACGGTTTGTCCTTTATGGAAACGTGTCTTTTTAGGCAGACATATAAACAGTTTTTCCTTTATGGAAACGTGTCTTTTTAGGCAGACATATAAACAGTTTTTCCTTTATGAAAGAGGACGGCGGGAGAACAGACCTATGATTCTTGCTTTGATTTCATTCCAATCCACATATCCATGATGTTAAAATAAAGCTTGTAATATAACATTGACTTCCGGTTCAAGCGTTTCCACCGAAAAGCCGGTTTTTATTCAGTTTTGAAACACAATTTCGAAATTATACAACTTTGTTTAATCGTGATACCCAAATTGTAGCCCCGATATCAGTCTTAGTAAAACAAAATGTATCATTATTGTCTTTACTGACGAAATATTGGACTCTGGCATCTGGGGGTAGACATACAAACAGTTTTTCCTTTATGTAAGCGGGTTTTTTGGCAGACACACACATGCCCCCCTCAACCCCCCAGGGCAGTGCTACTGACTAAAGTGTCTTTAGGGCCATTCCCAAAGGGGGGGGGGGGATATTAACATGTACGTATGCACAACAGAATTGTGAATGGGCTGATTTATCAATGTCATGCTCATACTGTGCCGGAACAACATAGGGGGAACTGCTGCTTTTTCTTTCCTAATCCTTACTATCGTCATTTTTCCTCTACTTCTTTGGTATGTTTGCCACTCTCCTGTGACCCTCTATTTCCGGGGTGCCTTGATAGTCAAAGCAGACTTTGTGTCGTTGAGGACCTTTTGCAGTTGCGAGCGCCGTAAAAACCGTACTAAAACTAAAACAGATACACAAAGCGTTTTCGTTTAAAAAAGTGACTTAACTACGGCAAGGCCCTCCCC